ATGTGTAGTGAGAGGGACTGGAATGTTCCAGCCTTGTTTACGGGATGCACCTGTCCCATAACCTCCTTATTTTTCCAAGTGCCTCTGACCCACCAAACATGTACACTGTGCTTACACCGTAGAAAAGGGCACCCATTTACTCCTTTAAAGTAAGAATGACAGATTAAAAATTATGCTTTTCAGTCTATTGTGAATTTTAGTAACACACACATCTTAATTACAAAAATAGAATTCTTAACAGTATTTTAGGAATTGCTGCTGTCAGTTTTACATGATAAAGATGGATTAGTTAATGCTTTCATTGAATAATGTGAACATGTTACTAAGCATTTCTGTCTTTGGTTTGGAATTCAGTATAAAATAGATCATTCCACTAAGCTCTACCCAAAACAGGAGACGTTTATCCTTAAGCTTTTGTCATGAAGCCACTCCAATTGTGAGAGGTTCTATGAAGATTAGTAAAATGATTGTTGTTTATATATACAGTCTCAATGACAATTTTAGACAATTACAGGACTACAGAAAAATGTTATTCACCTAAATAAATAATGTTCCAAGATACAAATCAGCCGATGAACAATAAATGAAACCTAGCTCTTCTTTGGACTCTCAAAATATCATATTTTAAAATGTGTTACTTCTCTATCCTTTTATTTTTACTGCCACTGTCTGAAGAGCAGAAAAATAATGAACACTTGCTAATAACAATTCATATTTCTACTACATATGAAGAAGAAATGGGACTATGTGTAAGAATTGAAACTAAGAAGAAAAAAGATCTAAGTGAGTCAACCTTGGGAAAAATACTGGACAAGTTCTATATTCTAAAAATTCAAAGCTATCGAAAACACACCTTTAGCCAAAAATCACATCTCAAGAGCCCTAGAAATCAACCTTTAACCTGTTGTTGAAAAATCATAAGACACTTTATCATTCTGGAAATCTCAGTACCAAAGTTTCTTTCTTGGTTTTACCTTTGTTGTTAACTGATATGGTAACAGCTGAATACCAAAATGCTATGTATAAATGTGTTAAACAAATTTTAACAAGTGCAAACAGAAGGATTTAATTTTTCTTTTGTAAAGTAAACCAAACTGACAAGATCATAGATCAAACAAATAGATTTTGCTGAATTGCCTTTTTTTCTTTTTCAAAGAGCAACAAGAAAGAAAGAACGAAAGAAAGAGAGAGCGAGAGCGAGAGCGAGAGCGAGAGCGAGAGCGAGAGAGAGAGAGAGAGAGAGAGAGAGAGAGA